TGTTTCCCAGAGTGATGCCTGCATGGGGTGGCACAGTGGCTCCGTGGTTAGCACTGCTGACTCCCAGTGCCAGGGACCCGGGTTCGATTCCAGACTCGGGTGACTGTCTGTGTGGGAGTTAGCACATTCTCCCCGTGTCTGCGTGGGGTTTCCTTCGGGTGCTCCGGCTTCCTCCCACTGGCCCAAAAAAAAAATGCAGGTTAGGATGGATTGGCCATGGGAAATTGCCCCATAGTGTCTGAGGATGTGCAGTCTAGATGGATTAGCGATGGGAAATGCTGGGTTACAGGGATAGGGTAGGAGTTAGATTTGGGCCAAATGGCCTGCTGTCACACTGTCGGGTTCAATGCACTCGAAAGATTGAATTGGCAGAAGAATTTAGACAAATTAGACCTGAATACCCTGGAATTTAGAAGGTTAAGATTGGGGTGGGGACAGGGTAGTAGATTTGATCAGTTTTCATGCTATTAAGGGGACAAATAATGTAGGTAGAGAGAGAAACTATTGCCGAGGGCCTGAGGTCACAGTTTAATTAATAATTGGAACCAGGTTTTCAGGAGCAACATTTTTACACACAGTGGGTGGAATTTTGTGCTCCTCCCAGGAGTGGGAAGCAAGGCAGGTGGGGGTCACTTAATTCCATGGGAGGCCGAGACTCAGAATCCCGAAAGCGGGATGAATTCCTGCAATTCAGTTCTCAGCACCTCAAAGGCAGGTCAAGCTTCCCAAAGCAAGCATCAGAAAGCCCTTGCACCACATTTGTATGTCACACGTGCTCGTTAAAAGGCCACCTCACCAAAATTAATTGCTCCTTCCCAATTAAATTCTCCACCAAAGAGTGTTTTTTTTTAACCTTAACAACTGCATAACAGAAGCAAGAGAGATACTCATCTTCCTGGCTTATGGGGTCAGTTGCCATTGCTACTATATCCAGAAGACCATAAGATGTAGGGACAGAATTCGGCCATTCAGCCCATCAAGTTTGCTCAGGCACACAATTAACCTGGGAATAGAGATGCATGTAGGGGCTGGAAGAGGTGACAGAGATAGGGAGGGGGTGTAGGGGCTGGAGGGGGTGACATAGATAGGGAGGGGGTGTAGGGGCTGGAGGAGGTGACAGAGATAGGGAGGGGTGTAGGGGCTGGAGGGGGTCACCGAGATAGGGAGTGATTAGGGGTTGGAGGAGGTGACAGAGATAGGGAATGTTGGACCATAAGACACAGGAGCGAAAATGAACCATTCGGCCCATTGAGTCTGCTTCGTCTTTCAGTGAGATCATGGCTGATCTGATCATCCACAACTTCACTTTCATGCCTTTTCCCCATAACCATTGATTCCCTTCCTGATTAAAAATCTGTCTATCTCAGCTTTAAATATAATTAATGACCCAGCCTCGATAGCCCTCTGCAATAAAGAATTCCACAGATTCACTGCCCTGTTAAGAGAAGAAATTCCTCCTTTTCTCTGTCTTAAACATGCGTTGGTAGCTTAGCAGACAGTGAAGAAGGTTTTCTGAGATTACAAAGGGATTTTGATCAAATGGATCAATGGGCTGAAAAATGGCAGATGGAGTTCAATCTGGATAAATGCGAGGTATTGCATTTTGGTGCAACAAACAGGAGCAGGGCTTATACAATTAACGATAGCGCCTTGGGTAGTGTTGTAGAATAGTACGGGGGTGCAGGCATTTAATTCATTAAAGTTTGTGTCACATATAGACAGGATGGTTAAAAAGGCGTTTGGCATGCTTACCTTCGTTGCTCAGTCTTTTGTGTATAGGATTTGGGACGTCCTGTTGAGGTTGTACAGGACATTGGTGAGGCCTCTTCTGAAATACTGAGTCCAGCTCTAATCACCCAGCTATGGGAAGGATATCATCAAGCTGGGGAGGGTTCAGGAGAGATATACCAGGATGTGGCTGGGTATGAGTTATAAAGAGAGGCTGGATAGGCTGGGACTTTTTTCACTGGAGCGTAGCAGGTTGAGAGATGACCTGATAGAAGTCTATAAAATAATGAGAGGTATAGATAGAGCTGATGGTAGTTGTCCTCTCCCTAAGATGGGGAGTTTCAAGACAAGGGGGCACATTTTTAAGGTGAGAGGAGAGAGATTTAAACAAGACATAAGAGACAAATTTTTTACACAGAGGGCAGTCCACATGTGGAATGAACTTCCTGAGCAAGTGGTGGATGCGGGTACAATTGCAACATTTAAAAGTCATTTGGAAGGATACATGAATAGGAAAGGTTTGGAGGGATATTGGTCAGGAGCAGGCAGGTGGGACTACTTTAGTTTGGGATTATGTTCGGCATGGACTGGTTGGACCGAAGGGTCTGTTTCTGTGCTGTGTGACTCTATGTCTACTTACTCTGAGGTGATGCCCTCTAATCCTAGTCTCTCCCTCAAGGGAAAATAACCTTTCCATACTTACCCTGCCAAACCCTCTAAAAAACTTGTCTGTTTCTGATTCTTCTATATTCCAGTTGACTAACAGGGGAAAGGAAGCAGGATTGGCAAAGGGAGGTAGGCTGACTGGGGAAGAGTAGAAGGGCCAGACTGTTCAGTTGCTGGTACCCACCCTGAGAGGTGGCACAATACTCCTGTCTCACAGGAAATGAATGCCTGTCTGGGTGCTCGCTAGATTTGGCGCCAGAACCTTTGACCCGATGAGGTAACGCTGGGCTGCTGACTCCTGATTCAGGCAGCCAATCACGTTTGCAAATATAATGAGGTGCACAAGTAAAGCCTGCCCTGCCACGGCCCCCCTGCCCACCCAAGCCAAAAGAACACTCACTTCCACCCTCACTGTCAGATATATTTTCCATAATGGGTGGTTCCACTCAAAAAGTTTGGAATGCTCGACCACACATGGCAGTTAATGTTAGATCACTTATTGACTTCAGTTCATTCACTGACAGATTTTGTAAATTAAAGATACTGAGAAGTATGGGGTAAAGGTAGGTGTAAGCTGTAAGGTTGCAGATCAGGCATGACCTCATTGATAGGCAGAACACGTTCGAGGGGCTGAATGGCCTCTTTCTGTTCCAACGTTCTTATGAATTCTGCTCTGAATACCCATCTACACAGACCTATCTTGGGAATGATGCACACTGTTATTTCCACATGGTGGAACCATATGGCAACTACTGCCAGCTCATTTCTGCATCCACCGGGGATCTTGCCTTCTTGTCATCACTTTAAATTAAAAGACTACAGTTCGCTCCAGCTCATTTCAGCAGCAGTTGGCAAGGAGTGTTCTTGGCCAGCAGGTATCATTGTTGTGCCATCTCCATCTGCCAGTGGCTGTACCTTGCTAAGTAGCTACTGGCAGTGCCCACCCGGCTGTCCAGTCCTGTGACCCCTCGACCAGGATAAGAAAGGCCCCTTGGCTTCTCTGATCTTAATGAAATCTAACCTCCAGCATCCCAATCCTGCAGCTCCCTATTAAGGACGTTGAGCTTGTAGGTCACAGATTCGAAGAAGAGAAATCTTCCATTCATACAGCACCTTTCACAATTTCAGGATGTCTCAATAAGACATTTCGCAGCCAATTAAGTACATTGTTGGAAGAGTAATAGTAAATTACACATAGCTGTTGGGTTGTAAACCACTCTGAGATTATTGGTTGGCTTCATATTGTACCAATTCAAAAGGCTGTTTCTTTACTGTTTCAGCAGCTGTAATAAGCACCTCTTAGAACCATTTCACTTTGTTTTGGTTTTTCTGGCGCTATTCATAAAACCATAGAAGATAGGAGGAGATCATTCGGCCCTTTTATTATGCTGGACAATTCAATAAGTTCATGTCTAATCTTTCATTTCAATCGTACCATCTCAACTAATGGTCCATATCCCTTGATTCAAATCAGTCCAAAAATCTATCCATCTCACCTTTGAATTCACAGGGTAAGAGAATACTCAAAAATGTACAATACTTTATTGAAAGGGTTTGGAAAATATTTGTTGCTGGGGTTGGAGGGTTTGAGCTTGAAGGAGAGGCTAGGGCGGTTTTCCCTGGAGCGTCGGAGGCTGAGGGGTGACCTTATAGAAGTTCATAATATCATGAGGGGCACGGATAGGGTGAACAGTCGAGGTCTTTACCCCAAGGTAGGGGAGTCCAAAACTAGAGGGCATAGGTTTAAAGTGAGGGGGGAAAGATTTAAAAGGGCAACATTTTCACACAGAGGGTGGTGCGTGTATGGAATGAGCTGCCAGAAGAAGTGGTGGAGGCTGGTACAATTACAACATTTAAAAGGTTTCTGGATGGGTACATGAATAGGAAGAGTTTAGAGGGATAGGGGCCAAGTGTTGGCAAATGAGACTCGATTCATTTAGGATATCTGGTCAGTTGGACCAAAGGGCCTGTTTCCATGCTGTACAGCTCTATGACTCTATAATAGGTCCTTTCCTGTTTTTTTTGGGAAGGAAACAAACAGATTCAAATTAACCGGTGACTTCATCTGGGTCACCAACTCCACTTGAACATGGGAGTTTCCTCAATAGATACATTAGAGACATTTAAGCGACTCTTGGATAGGCACATGGATGATAGTATAATGTAGGGTATGATCTTAGTAGGATAATAGGTCGGCACAACATTGTGGGCCGAAAGGCCTGTCCTGTGCTGTACTGTCCTATGTTCCAATACCTTGTGCCTGCAAACGTGCCTCTCGGATAAGCAGTCACCTTTGCACGTCGGTTCCATCGGCAATCGCATTTTGTGCTCGCAGGCCAGTGCCCTGTAGATCGGATTCCTGGCGCATCCAGGGAATCTCCTGGAAGGACTGTAAGGAATTCTCAGAACGAAGCCCGACTGTGACACTGTGAGATGACGAAGCGCTTCCAATACTGGACGTAGAGTCCAGCAGAGAGGGTCTGCAAAGCGTGTGACTACTCGGGGACCAAGCCTCCGAGATAATTAACAGGCAAAATGTCAATTTGTAAGAACATCAATTGGATGAGTAAAAAGCACAAGTTGATTGTCTGTTCCTTTTATTGCAGGCTTTTCCCTGTATCTCGACTGGAATTTACGGTAAGTTATAAAGCCATGTTATTAATTCTTAAACTTTTTTGCCCTGTAAGTTAAAAAGATGTTTTACAGTGCCTGTTGGGAATTAACATTGGGGGAGAAATAGCAACAAAATTCCTGTCCAGACCACATAAAGAGTGTACGGTCACAGAGGAACAGGAGGAGGCTATTCAGCCCCTGATCCATATCTTAATTCCACCTAACTGCCTCGGTTTGTTATCCCTTCATTCCCTTCCCCAAACAAAACAGTCTATCAATCTCAGCTTTGACATTTTCGGTTGGCCTTTTAGTACCAAGATCTTTTTACAGGGACAGAATGGCAGGCTCCCATTCCTCCCTGTCTGAAGTAGTTCTTCCTGAATGGCCCAGCTCTTAACGTTCTGGCCCCTTGCTTTGGACTTTCCCCACTTTGAGTCAGAAGCTTTAGCAGCACCGTGAGATACCATACCTGCTATCTGTGTTCCCAGCCCTGGTTCAGGAAAAGTGCAACCCCAATATAGCGACCTCAACATTGCCAACCCAGCCACTCAATGCATTCGCATCATAACCTGGGCATGATACAGCGAAATAGATGCAGAGTCTTTCCAGGACTTCTCTGTCTGTTTTTTTATGAAGTCTGCAGGCTAAATGACAATGAATAAGTCAGTAAAAGTGAAATGGTACATCTTCTTTAAATAATCAAACCGATTCCACTTAAACCTTACTTGAATTTTCTGGCAGGAAGTGTAAGTGACTCGAGGCAGGTCATTGGGCTCTGAGTGGGATACTGACAGGCAATTTGTATGCAGATTTTCTCCATCAGACCTTACTGAATCTACAGGAGTGTTTATCAGGCGTGTTATCTTCAGGAGCCTCAGTACTCATGTGTGAAAGATCGTTTAGGTTCCTTACTGGGTAGAAACGCAGCAAGTTTGTTTTTTAACTGGTCCTACTGCTGCTCGTTGCTGAACGTGGGCCGTTGGAACGGGGAGGTTGAGTTTGTGTTAATGAGCGGCACTGGTACAGGGAGGCTTCGTGTGTTAATGAGCGACAATGTGGGTGCACCATTACACAAATGGAGAGTGTTTGTGAAGCTGGTCTCGGTGCAGCCTGGAAGTCAGGGATTTAGGTTTCGTGAAAGGGTCCACGCCCAGGGCTCCTACCCATCAGACAGAAGGGGATACCAAAGTGAGGTGACCAGCCTGGGAGAGCTGTGTGTGTCCAATAGTTTTTTTTTGTTTAATCATTCAGGGGATGAGGGCGTTGCTGGCCAGGCAGCATTTATTACCCATCCCTAATTGCCTAGAGGGCAGTTCAGAGTCAACCATATTGCTGTGGGCCTGGAGTCACATGTAGGCCCAGACCAGGTAAGGATGGCAGTTTCCTTCCCTAAAGGGCATTAGTGAACCAGGTGGGTTTTTCCGACAATCGACAATGGATTCACAGTCATCATTAGACTCTTGATTCTAGATATTTATTGAGTTCAAATCCCACCATCTGCTGTGGTGGAATTTGAACCCGAGTCCCCAGAACATTATCTGGATCTCTGGATTAACAGAGAAGCGATAATACCACTAGGCCATCACCTCCCCCTGATTTAGTAAGGGGAAGGATACTGTTACCTTTATAAAAATCCTTCACTTCTTGTTTTGCTACCCTTCTACCTAATCTCCTGAAAGGAACCATCTTGGGCCAGAGCTAAGACCAATATGCCACTTGATATAATGACTTCCAGTGTTAAAGCAAATCTCTCATAGACAGGAATCAGGAGAGGGAGGTGTGTATCCCAATAAACACTGGGGTCATGCCTTCAGGGAACCTCAGGCTGGGGCAGCCACCCCCCCCACCCTTATCCTCACATATCACCCCACTAACCTCTGTATTCAACATATCATTCTCCGCCACTTCTGCCACCTGCAATCTGACCCCACAACCAATCTGCCTTCCTATCACCATCCCACCTACCTTCCCCAGCCCCATCCCTCCCCTCTCTATTTATTTCCGAGCTCCCTTCCCCCTCCCCCATTTCTGAAGAAGGGTCCCGACCCGAAACGTCAGCTTTCCTGCTCCTCTGATGCTGCCTGGCCTGCTGTGTTCCTCCAGCTCCACACTGTGTTATCTCTGCCTTGTTTGCTGTTGATAGGTTCAACAGTAATCTAAGCTTTCCATGGCCTTTACAAAGAGAAGCACAGAGTGCAGATGGCAAGAAGTTCTGTCAAACCCATACAAAAGACCTCAACCCCACTGCGACTCGGTATTTAATTCTAGACACGCGAAGGATGTGAAGGGGTGGGAAGGGTTATATTTGGTGGACGGCAGGATTAAGGGGCTTAGAAACAGGAAAAGCACTGACACCCGTGATTTCTCTCCCCGGCCCTACCTCTCGACCAAGGAATACGGCTAGCACCAGCAGTTGGAGCAGCTACCCTATACTCCAGCTCCTGTGCTCAACCCAGAATATGGGCATTCCATCAAACATTAACCTGTGAGGTGACTCACTCCCAGATCTCGTATTATCCCCTCGGCTTTCCCTTGCCTGCAGACTCTCACTCCGAGAGATCCGTGACTACCTCCTCAGAAGGGGTTTGAATTTTGAGGTCAACTTTTTCTTGTATGTTTTGACCTTCTGATTTTTTTGACAGCTTAGATTAGAGCTCTGGGGATTGCTAGAGGCTGACTCCAATGCATTTTTCATCTGGTGCAGCATGTATGAAATAATTTGTGTAACCCCACTATTTTCACCTCCAATATCTTAGCTTCCATCGTCTTATTAACGTTTCGCTCTGCGCTTGTTTTTAAACTGGTTGCGTTTTGGGTGAGCATAGAAAATCCCAGAGCCATCACCTGAAGAAGAGCAGAGGATGTCTCTCGCTGATTTGATTTGATTTATTTATTGTCGCGTGTATTTTTGTTGCAGAATACAGTGCAATGTCATAGATCACAGAATCCCTACAGTGTGGAAACAGGCCCTTTGGCTCAACAAGTCCACACTGACCCTCAGAGCATCCTACCCAGACCCATCTCCTGTAAAACCCACCTAACCTACACATCCCTGAATGCTATGAGCGATTTCCCATGGCCAATCGACCCTAATCTTTGGAGGGAATCGGAGCACCCGGAGGAAACCCACGCAGAGACAGGGGGAGAATGTGCAAACTCCCCACAGACAGTCACCCGAGGCTGGAATCGAACCCGGGTCCCTGGCGCTGTGAGGCAGCAGTGCTAACCACTGAGCCGCCATGCCGCCCCAAACGTGTTGCATAGTGTCGCCACTCTCTGGTGCCGTCACAGAAAAATAAAACCAAAACATAGAATATAAAGGCAGAAAAATAAAGAAATAAAGTTCAACTCTATGATCATTCTTGTTAAGTGCTCAGCCACGGCTCTGGAGCGGCCAGCAGCCCTCACCGCGCCGCACGAACAAGGGTCACTAGTCTTCGGCGCAGTTAAGCCTCCACCCATGCCCTCTCTGCCATGAGTCCTCACCGGACCTCGCCAATCCAACCACTGCTGATGCCACCGAGTCCTACACTTGACTCCGCCACTGCTGCCAACTGTCTGCTCCAGGCCCACCTTGCTGATGCAGCCTGTGCTGACGCAGATGGTCTTGTACTGGGCCCAAAGCCACTGCCGCTGCCACCTCCACCTGTCTGCACCAGGTGCCTCCACCTCATTGATGCAGAAGCTGCCAGGAACCCAATCTCACCTCCGATGTCTTCGCCGTGAGTCTGCGCTAGTCACGCCTCGCCACTGTGACCGAGCTCAACACGAGGCAAGTAAACAGAAGAAAAGTGAGGAAGGAGGGAAAAAAAAGAAACAAAAAGCAGATGGCGTGGACCAGCCCCAGGCACAGGAGCCCCTACTCCACTTGAATTGGCAGATGTTCTGGGCCAATATTCATCCACCATCCAATGCCCTCAACCTGATGATCCAGTCATTATCGATCTGTTGTATGTCGGAGCTTGCTGTTCACACATTGGCTGTTGCCCTTCCTACATTACAACAAAGACTACACTTCAAAAAGTCCATCATTGCTGTGTGGTGACCATCCCGAGGTCACCAAAGCTGCTATGCTTTTCTCTTTTCTCACAATCACAAGGCCATAAGACATAGGAGCAGAATTAGGCCATTCAACCCATCGAGTCTATTCACCATTTGATCATGGCCGATATGATTCTCGACTCCATTCTCCTGCCTTCTCCCCGTAATCCTTGATGTCCTTACTAATCAAGAGCCAATCTATCTCTGCCTTAAATACACTCAATGACTTGGCCTCTGCAGCCCTCTGCAGCAATGAGTTCCAGAGATTCACCACCCTCTGGCTGAAGAAATTCTTCTTTATCTCAGTTCTAAAGGATCGTCCCTTCACTCTGAGGCTGTGCCCTTGGGTCCTAGTCCCTCCAACTTGTGAAAACATGGCTTCTATGTCCATTCTATCCAAACCTGTCAGTATTCTGTAGGTTTCATTCAGATCCTGCTTGTCCTTCTAAACACCATCACATACAGACCCAGAGTATTCAACCACTCCTCATGACAAGCCCTTCATCCCCGGGATCATTCTTGTAAACTTCCTCTGGACCCCACTCCAATGCCAACACATCCTTGCTTGGATACAGGGCCCAAAACTGCTCACAATGCTCCAAGTGCGGTCCAGCCAGGTGCCTAACTAGCCACACTTATCAGAGTTTGCAGCGCTCAGTCATCGAAATGTAATTGCAGACTTGTATTTTTTTTGAGCTGCTCCTGACATGGGGTGCAGCTGAGCCTGCAACATTCAGGAGATTTATATTTGTTAAATGCTTCACTAGCTACTCGAGAAGTGGAAAAGCGTCGGCAGAGATTCATCGTGATTGGCAGGTATTTGTTATCGCTGACAGACAAAAGCTTGTCAAAATCACACATTCCAATATTCTGCTGCGAAGGGATGGAATTCTCAGGGGTTGGTGGTGAAGGCCCACTTTTTTCCTGCACAGAAGCTGGTGTCCTTGACAGCTATGTCCCTGATGACACCTGTTCCAGGCAGA